GCTGGCTGGAAACACACAAAGCACTCACGCACATGTACACGATACAAGGGTCAATCCAAACCTTATATCGCGACGGTTCTGCGTTTGTTTCTTATTGCTTTGATCTCACGGTTTGCTTACAAGGGGATTTAAAGAATTATATAGCAGCTAGCGAGCCTAATTTCTTCGTTTCGTCAGAGCTTTTTGCATAAGCAACCTCTCGATGTTTCATACCTAGCACTTGGTTGCGGAAGCTGCATTTCTCATGGTGAGGCCATCCTAGTTTTTTTGCACGAGATCTGCAGCCCAGTTTTTCTTTGTAGGAGCAGCCAGCCGTAGAAAATTGTTGTGCCCTGCCTTCAACATTTAACTCCCACACTCGAGCTTCTTGGTGGCATTGCCAAGGAAGAACTTGATTGCCTTGGCCTTCATGTCGGTGAATGTGGATTCCTACTTGCGGCGTCTGCGACGAATCTTGGTTGTGGAGTCCTTGATCCTCTTGACGCGTCCACTGAACTTGCGCATATCGTACAAGTCCATGCATGTAATGTTGGATTCCTCTTCCAATTCCATCTTTGTCCTAGATAGTTCCCGATCTTGATATAGCGATTCTATTTCGTTTCCCGGAAACTCGCCTATCCAGCAAGGTGTATACGGGAAAGCTGCATATGTCTCTTGGCATGGTAGTCCACAGATGGGGTCGTAATATGCTGAACACACATTGCCCAAGTCCTGAAATTTTGAGCTGTTCCAATCATAGGCCAGTCCTCTAGGTTTTCTCCCTGATGAAATTAAGAAGACAATCTCTTTATAAGGATGAAACCCAAGGAAATAATAATTTCCATAATATCCCTCTTCAAGAGTGTTATCCTCGATAGCGTCATCTTCGAAGTCAAGACCGTTATCCTCGTATCCCTCTTCAACATCATATTCAATGTGAAGAATGCTATCCTCGTCAGAATTCCAGTCATATTTCTCTTCCACCGGCTCTTTGTAAATTCCATTCTGCTCAAAGAACCACTTACGGTAGTTAACATCCTGTATGATCCATTGCCTACCTAGTTGGGCATAGTCCTCATATTCAAAGGTATTAAGAGTGGTATCATGATTTAGCACCCATTCTATTCGACTACACGATTCATTGAGATGCCAAAGCTGAAGGACCGGACTCCGGTTATTTGATATTGCACAATACACCCCTCTCTGTGATTTACCAAGATGGTGGTCGGGATATCCTCTCGGTAAATATTTACTGACTGGTAGTGTAATTACTCTGTATGTGTGATCTGACAAACACATTCTGCAAACATGAACAATCAGATAAGACAGATTAATAACACCAGGTAAGAATCATAGCAGCATATATTTTAGCAGTATTTCTTAGATAATTACCATGGGATTTTTCCTATGTTATTATGCCCATGTATGACATTCATTTAATGGGCCGGAATGGCGGTACTAGATTCTTATGACTCTTTCCATACATTGAACTAATTCCTAAGAATTCTTAGCATTACGCTGTGGCCTTATGGAAAACTCAGAAGAATTGGTGTGGAGGGAACATCACAATATTTGACTTTGATTTGCAAATCCCACAATATTTGACTTATGCTAAACAGGAATAATGACCGAGGAGCAAGTAGTAGTACCTCATGAGATAGCCATGCTGGCAATGGATATAGAGATTGCTTTGCCAGTAGACCGCATGATAATGATATTGATTATACGACCAATCTGAATCCATGTAGTCAATGATCCCTGCGGTCTCCCCTTCCCGAACAAAGGTCGTCTTGTCCCACCACCGAGTAACTGACGAGAACACATCAATGACGTATGACGCGGGGGGCCACTCCGATCCATGCAATGTGTCATCGTTCGACACGCCGGCGGACAACACGAGCGGGATCAGAACGACCTCATAGTGCGGTGACATGCCTGGCTCGAACGCGAGGTACGCGCTCTCGTCGGAACCCGGCATGTGCGGCCGAGGGTGTTGGGGCAGACGCGCCCACCGACGTGTGGCCGGGTTGACAACATAATCGCGCGGCAGTGCATGGTCGTGCTCGTGCCTCAGACCGCGGCAAAGCAATAGCCCGTTGCAGTGGTCCATGACACTGACGCCCGTGCAGGGCAAGAAGTCGAGCCCTCCGCAGATCGCCGGGCCTGTCGTGGGACGTGAGAAGAACTCCGAGAATCTAAGCCGGGTGAAGTTGATGAAGATTCCGCGCATGAAGCACGGGAGCAGGTGGGCGCGCAGGCGGGCGTCGATGGTGTCGCGCCACGCACTGCAGAACAGCCGGGACGTGGCTAGGCTGTGCGGCGCGAGGCGGCCGAGGATCTCCGCGAGGACGTCACCCGGTAGCACGGCCGGATCAGGTGCCATTGCCGATCGATCTTGTTCGCCGCTCCTTCTTTTTTCCTTGTCGTCTGTGATCCCGCACGCGCCGCAGTGTTTTGGGGATCCAAAGTTGTTGGCGAACACGTCGTGCAGATCTTGGACTACAACTGACGCGATTGGAGACGTATATATGACCTAGGCTTCTATACGTACATATTGGAGACGGTCAGACGGTTAGACAGAGTTGGATCAAAGCTGAATCTCGATTCGGTGCAAAAAAAAATATATAAAGGAAAAAACAGGAGCTGATACTCTGAAATCTGAACAGAGACAGGCCTACCTAAGATATTTTGGGATTTCTTTTTTCTTGCAAGAAGTAATTTGGGGATTAAACATCCGGCAATGCTGGGCGCCGGGGCGCCGGTCCAAATTTGGGCGGGTTGGCCCCCAGCCGCCCGATACAGCTACGCACAACCGTTCGATATAGCCGCACATCTTCTTCCTTCCCCTCCTCGTCTTTGATGTGGTCAACACGGGGAAATCCATGGCGGGCGTAACTCTCTCCCCTCCACCGGACCCCCGCACCCCGCGCGTGGTGTGTGTCCGTCCTCGCCTGTTTGCCTCGCCCCTTGATGCTCGCCGTTGAAGCTCGCCGCCGCTCACCGTCGCCAGAAACGCAAAAGAAAATAAATAGGCAGTTGACCCATAGCAGCTTTTCTATTGCCTCCGCCCGTTCCCAGTTGCATCCATGGGTGGTCCTTCTCCGTGCCGGCTGCAAAAACAGCGGTCCTCGCTGGTGTTGCCGTCCCTCTGGTTGCAACTAATGTGGCCCACGACGTCGTTCGCCAGCCGAGCCGGTGGTAGCAAAAAAAATACACTTGTTCCAGCAAGAAAAACAGATGGTGGTAACAAAAATTTGTTGTCCCAAACAAAACATGCAAATTGGTAGTAAAAAAAATCGCCGGTGGTTCCAGCAAAACACAAAGCTGGTAGTAGTAAAAAAAATCAGGAGTGGATCTAGAAAAAGAATTGATGCAGCAAAAAATCACGGCGGCGACGACACCACCATCCTCTTGATTGCAGCAAAATCTAAAGAAGGTTCTAGCAAAGAAAGAAATGGTTCTTGCATAAAAATGATGGAGCAAAAAAACCATAGCGGCATAACTCAAAACAAATCCGATGTAGCAAATGAACTAGCTGGTTCCAACAAAAAAAAATCACTGGTTCCAGCAAAAACTGAAGTCGCTGGTGAGGGCGCAGTCTGGTTCCAGCAACATTGGAAGCTGGTTCCAACACGCGGACTTGCTGGTTGTAGCAAAAAACGACGCCGGTTCCAGCAAAAAGGTGTTGGCCGGTTCCAGCAAGGTGCCACCGGCTCGCGGTGCCGGCTGTAGCTCACCACGCCTCCGATTCCAGCTTCCCGTCATGGGTTGTAGCAAGATGCGGCGCCGATCACAGCCCCTCGGACACCGGTTGGAGCTTCTCACATCCATGGTTGCAGCATCGGCTAACCATGGCCGTGGAGAAAAAAAGAGGGATGTAGGATCCATTTAAAAGGATCCAATCTTCGCATCTGGCTTTACATGATGGATAAGTACGGCCTCGCCGACTGGTTACTTGTAGATACCATTTGTTTGTGTGAGATATGTGTCCATCAAATGATATCAACCAGAGTGTTTGACGTGAAGTTGGGGACGATTCAGGGTTTCTTTTCTTGGAGGCGGATGGTGTCCTCTACCTGTTTTTTTTAGCAGGAACACCATGCATTCCATTAACTAGTGGTGACAAAATCGTCAGCCACAGCACATCTTACATCAGGAGGCAGGTTAATGATCCACATGCGGTCACCACCTAGAACCAACCTAGACCCCAAGACTCGCCAGCAAGTGAGCAGGCTTATTACAGTTACGACTTTGAAACCGGACCGTACACTCGATGAAGCCCAGTTGGAGAAGGAAATTTGCTTCCCTGAAAAGACAACCCAGCCGGCTGCGATCCGATGCACCTGAGTCCACCGCTTGCTTCAGCAGTAGGCAGTCCGTTGTGAATATGACCCGACCAATTCCGTGGCTCTCCGCCAGGGCGATAGCCTTTAACAGTGTGGTCGCTTCAGCATGGATCACATCAGAAACACGGGTGATAGGGCCAGCTCCTGCGAAGATGACATCCCCTACCGAGTCTCTCGCTATGCAACCCCAGCCACCCAAACCACTCTGAGCGTTGAAAGCTGCATCCAGATTGATGTTAACCCAATCCGGGGGTGGCGGTGACCACTTGCACTGCACTTGCGACCGGGGTTTCGAATCGGTGACATGAAATTGGAGCCATTCCGTGGTTCTTATGTGGACCTGGCTGGCGAATTCTGACACTGCCATCCTCCTCTCCCCATGCCTGATACGATTTCGCTCGGACCACCACATCCAGAGCAGGCAGATGACCCATAGCTTGGTCTTGTTGGGAAGGGCGAAGAGTCGAAGACCATCTCCAGCACATGCAGAGGCGTAATGGCATTCAACAAATCCAATCGGACCTGCTCCAGACCCAACTCTCTCCATACTGGTTTGATACCTTTGCACTTGAAGAAGAAATGGGCCCCGTCCTCGAACAGGCGCCGACACACGGCACAACGGGTATCAAGCTCAACTCCACGCCTCGCAATGTTAATATGCAGCGGGTGGCTATTATGGCCGAACCTCCACATGAAATGATGAACTTTACCGGGGCATGTGATCTTCCAGAGTTTGGACCATACGGCGCCCCGCCAGTTTGAACCGGCCATGCTCCCGGCCTGCACCTCAGAGTTACCACTGCTTCTCATGCTCCTGTGAACCCGGTAAGCTGATCTGACAAAGAAAAGCCCCTTAGTGTCGTAATGCCAGGCAATGAAATCCTCATAGTGTTCGAAAACTAGAATGGTCACGATTAGATTTGCATCCTCCTGCACAAAGGTTTGCCGGACCAGAGCTTCATCCCATGAATTGGTCGCTTGATCAAGAAGTTCATACACACGGTTAGAAGGTTATGTTCTCGGTTGACAGGGGACGCCTCGAGGTATCGCGGGGTAGCCATGGACAGGACCAGATTTTGATGTTCTCGCCAGACCCTACCCTCCAGATATAGCCCTCCTTGATAATCTCCAGACCCCGAAGTATGCTCCGCATCGTGTAGCTCATACCTGCACGGGGAACCGCAGAGAGGAGGTCACCATCAGGGTAATACTTCGCACGTAGCACACGAGCACATAGGGAGTCTGGGTTCTGGATGAGTCTCCATGCCTGCCTGGACAACATAGCCAAATTGAACGAATACAGATTTTTGAACCCCAGCCCTCCTTCCTCCTTGGGGTGGGGAGCATCATTCTTTCCCGTCCAACCCAGTGCATCTTACGTTCATCCTTTTGCTGAGACCACCAGTATCGACAGATCATGTTGCTTAGCTCCTCACACAGGCCCTTCGTCAGGTCAAAACAGCCCATTGCATACGCCGGGATAGCTTGTGCCACGGATTTTACCAGAATCTCCTTTCCTTGCATCGAGAGAAAGCGCTCCAGCCAGCCTTGAATGCGTGCCCACAGCCTATCCTTGATGTACTCAAAGCATTGCTTGACTGATCTCCCAACATATAACGGCAGCCCCAGGTATTTGCCATTGGTTGTTTCATTCTGGAGCGGGAGAACTTGCATAACAGTCGCCTTCACCACAGACTTTGTGTTTCTACTGAACATAATTGAGGATTTGTTCTCTACCTGTTTGATATCAAACGTAAGGAGTTAAAGAAGGTTTATGTGGTTACACAAGAGGATAGATACTTGTATGGAGCCACACCCTTTATGATGGTGTGGCCTCCTAAATTCTCTGTGATAAAGGAAGAGTGTGATCCAAAAGAATGACCCTCTGCAAGGTTTGTCTCTTGTTGATCCGTCTAGTGCTGTGTTTTTCTAGTCTCCATTGTGCTAATGTTTTATCTCATTTACGATGTTTACCATGTACATGCACTTATTTCTGAATTTTTTAGAAGTCAGCACACCATGATAATCTGTTGGTGGTTTGGTGGCATGTCCTTGCCGTTTAGCCTGATAATTAATTTCCATTCTTTTTGCAGCCGCTGTACGTTGCAGATTTACATTTTAAGAGAAGTCCGTCTCCACACGTTCTATCACCTCTATACAGAGACTTGGCTGCCCCCCAGTGGTTACATTAGTATTGTGTACGTCAGGATTGCCAAAACATTGTTTTTGATTCGAACATCTGTGTACCTGTATAGTCTACAAAGGAGATGCAAGTTTTGAACAAGCACTTTCAGCTGTTTCAAAATATTTTCATTCCTTTTGAAGCTTTTTCCATAAATAAAATATATTAATATCACGAAGATACCAATTATTACACCTAGTCTCTGCACCAACAAGATGTCCAAAAATAACGAGGATGCACACAACAAAAAAAAATAAAAAAAAGAGAAATAGAAATCAGAGACCCCGTTGCGGTGATGAAGCAGTCGTAATAGCAACACACTAACCACCACCGAAGACAACACCCTGACCGCAAAAGAGATTCTCCAAAAATGACACCTCCATGAAGAAAACAAAGCACAAGCGTTGTCTGTCGCCCGATCGAAGATCTTGAGTTTTCACCCTGAAGAGATTTCGAGTTCCCAAAACAATGCCTTCAGCAAGGCCATTGCCACGTACAACTAATGAAGGCCAGACCTTGGGTTTTCACCCTGAAATTCGCGACTCGGTATTCAAGGAGCACCACCAAAAGATGAAGTCCACATGTGCTGCCACCCACTCTTTCCAAGGCTGCTGCTGCAAGTGACCAAAACTAGACAGATAGGAAAAACTTGTGCCTTCATTCTTCATCGCCACTAGGACACCTTTCCACCACGACAAACCTTCGATCGCAGTAACCATGACTTTCTCCACTTGTCACTGCCATGGAAATCTATATTTAGACATGTCTCATGGCGTCGTCAAGAAAGTGTAGCTTCGCGCCACTCCCTCATGAAGCCTCACTTGCCGACAATAAGGGAACAAACAACCGGATCGA